CCGTCCCTGTTTCCTCCGAGCAGGGAGAACTCAGAAAGCTGCTCCCCTCTCCCTGCTCCTGGCACACCTGTAGCTTCTTCAGCGGCAGAAATACTCCAAACTACTAACAAATGTCCCTTTAATCCAGATCCTGTCAAAGTAAAGAGTCTGGAGACACTCATTAATACAGTCATACATTGATAGGGGATCAATACACTGCCAGGTAATTCAAACAAGACTCCCCGGAGCACAGAAGGTCTGTAGGACGCTCACACCTTCGTCCATCCGTCCTCAGCATCAGGAGCCTGTCACGCTCCTGACTTCTCTGGCTTGCTGCAGGTGCGTGCTGGCTGAGCGGGAGGTGAGGTACCTAAAGAGACAGCTCTCATCTGCCTCATCCTTGCTTTAAATTCTTCTTCCTGTAATAGCTATCTTGGGATGCTTTTGAAATTAAAAAGTTCAAAATAACGATTAATAAACGCTACAGTAAAAATTTAACACACTGAGTAACAGATGTGTTAAAATTTCATTTATTTTGCATACTATTCCGACTTACTTTCTGTGTCTTCACCCATAGCTGCTTGAGTTAAAGCCCTGTACTTTTAAGACTTTTATTAAACTGCTTCATTAAGGCAGTACAAAACAAACTGTTTAAACTAGGCAATAGCTGGACCACATGACGCAGGCATTACTGGTGGGCAGATTTTTCTGCTGGGGATGAGTTTCAAGAGCTGGGATATAGTGCTTGTGTAAGGTTTTAAAATTGTTTGTCACCCCTTCCAGGCATGAAGAGTTCACTAACTTTCATCATAGTAGCAGCTAGTGACATAATCTGTCACAATAGAAATCTTGTCTAGCAATAAGGTCACCCATTTCAACTGGCAACATAGAAACAGAAACTAATTACTACTTAATTCAGTAATCCAAAACAGAGTTGGCTTGGTGTGTGAAAATTTGCAGAGTTCTTCATGTTAGCAAACACAGATTTAAAAATAAAGCTTTAGCTGGGGTCAGCAGAGCTTTCCCTTGTTCTGGACAATAACTATTACATTTTTCAGTCTGAAAGGAATCACTGGAAAGGGTTCCTTAAACTAAAAGAGGAGATTACCAGCTGCACAACTGGAGGTGGCCAGAAATACCTAAATATATTTCATAGTCATGCAGATCTTTTACAGATGCTGAATTGCACGTTCCAGCATCTACCGAGTGCATCTTATAACATAGTTCCCCACATCCAGTCAAACCGTGTTTGTTCTGTATGATTTTTCCTCTACAAAATGCCATAGGAAGAAAAACCCTCCCCTAAAATAAAAATATGTTGCTAAAACCACGTATATCCATATGTTAGGAACAGAACCACAGGTGCCTGCAGGCAGTATAGAGCTGTGTGCGTACGGGAAGGGGCAGTGGGAGGCTGGCGGGACGGCAGCAGCTTGGTCTTGCTCCAGTGGGTTGTCCAGTGAGTGATTCCCGTTTCCCCTAAGGCTGCCTCTCATTAGCATGAATCGGGGAGGGGGGGGAAGGGCATAAAAGACTCCAGTTCATTTTGTGTCTGGAAAAACTTTACTTCAAAATGACAACCCAAGTGTTCTGGCTTCTCTGCTTTGTCATTAGATCATCTTCCAGCTCAGTGGCCGGTAAGTCTGTTACCATTCAAAGCGGGGCTGGTATTTTGCCTTTGGTATCAGGGGTGGCTAAACACATTACTCCAAATTCTTACCCAAGCAGCTCTCTTCAGCTTTAGTCTTTCCAGCAAGCAGGAGCAGTAATCACATAAGGGTTTAAGAAACATTTCAATGTGTTTTGTGGGATGGGAATGTAAATAGCAATATTTGATTTGTCAGCATTTGGAAGAATGGAGAGCACCTGCTGAAAGCAGGCAGTGAGCTGGTGCCGTGAATCCTGCCAGCCAGCCTCAGCAATTGAAGTTTGATTTGCTTCTGCACATGGAATTTTTTTTATTTGTATGTGACCTTTCTCTTTTACTCTCCTTCCCCTCACCTGTAAATTCCAGATTTCTAATTTATTTCTGTGTTGTCATGTGTGTCTGCAGCAAGCTGCCCTAAACAGATCTTTGGTTTGTTTTTTTTTTTTAGTACCTCATTGATGGTACAGAAATAAGATATAAATCTATTCCACTGGGAAGGAGAAGACCAGGAGCTGATGATGTTGCTGTTCTATTTCTTAGGTTGCAAGAGCTAGACAGGAATATGCTGGTAGAGGGGAATGAGTTGCAAGGTCTTGAGCAAAGATTGAGTAGAGAAAAATGAACTCTTTCTTGTTACAACCCATGACTGAGAAGGCATGATAAACTGGTAGAAAAGTAAACTTATAAAACTAAGTCCAAACCACCTGTTCAGAGTTCACAGCTTCATACAGAAACATCTCCAGAACACCCTTGCCTATCGCTTTCTTTAGCTTGGACTTCTTCCACCCCTTTCTTCATGGACATTCTTCTCACTTTACGTGTGGTCAGCCCAAATATCAGGGAATCTTTCCCATGACAGCAGCTGGTGAGAGCAAAGGGAGAGAAGTGGCAAGGTCAGCAGTTGAATCAGTTATAGAAGATAAACCAGGACGTTGTTCATCTGTGTGTGTGTGTCAAATATCTCTTTTCACATAAGGAGTTAGGATCAGCCTCCTACACGATGCTCACCACAGACAGTGAACACCCAGACAGCGGCTGTGTGTGGGTGAACTGTTTGAAAACTGCGCTGGCTGACTAACAGCACACAGTGAAGGACTGAAGTAAAGGAAACATGAACTGCAAGAGGAAATTTCTCTCTTCCCAGGCTAAATGGAAAGTCATTTTGCTTTGTGAGGTCCAAGTGACCAAGGTGAAGGTCTAAACGACGGGCTGGGTGACTGTCCAGCTTGTGTGAACAGTGTCTTTAAGCTTTTCATTTTTCACTAGATTCTCAGACACTTCCTCTCTTTCTCAATCCTTCTCCCACCCAACTTAAGAAAAGCCTTGAAATAATTGTTACTCAGCAGCAGCACTAGCCTAGCTACCAAATTGTGGTACTACTACTACTACTGTGCAACTCTGTAGTAGTGCAAAAGTCAGAGATCCAAACTGTGGATAAAGATCTTGTCAGTAGCGTTCAAAGCCCAAAGCCACTGAAGAGTCCGGATGACACTGTCAATAAGACATCCCATGGATGGGAAAACCAAATAGTTCTGTTGTCATGGTCTCTTAAACAAGCATCCCAAATGGCAATGTGAACCTTGTTTCCTCATGTTCCCTGGAGATCCAGGCTTTTGAGAAAAGGGTTTGTTTATAAGTCATGTTTTTAATTTGAAACAATAATAAAGTAAAAATGCAAATCTCCTGTGTTTTGCTCACGCAGCTGCATTCTCTGTACCGCGCCTTCCACGGCTGAGCACAGAAGAATGAGGTGCTCTACTGTCTTCAATCTGGGGAACTATTTTATCAGTTATATTGTCAGATTGTTGAAGGCATCACTTGATTGACTACAGCCCCAAATCTGCCAGGTGCTTCCCATTCAAAACCACACAATAAAAAAAAATGAAAATGCTAATTTGTGCTTTCTCCTTTTTTTTGTGTGTGTAGGATCCCTGCCCTACGCTGAGAAGCCCAGTCAGGCTCTCAGCAAAGATGTGTACAGCCCAGCAGACACTGCACCTGGCCAAGTCAAACTGCCAGCCTGGGGCACCAGCAGCACCAGAGAGAATCACATGGAGCACTGGCTTCTGCCTCCCGCTGACCTGCAGTGGCCAAAGCCTCCTGAAATCATCTCCCTTTCAGTGGAGAAAAAGAAACATACCAAGCCTTCGCTAGAAAACAGCACAGGGCTGAGGAAACACCTCTTGCAGTATGGAGGGGCCTTACCTCTGGACAGCCTGACTGAGGGGGCTTCTCCTGCCTCCTTTGACTTCAACCACGCCAACAGAAAGCACGCGGATAGACGGCTGGCCGAGGCTGCCAACAGCGTGTCAGCTCACTTCCATCACGCAGCGTCTTCCCATCAAAAGATGACGATGTCCTTAGTGGAGGCTCATCCTTTTCCAGACTCTGGAATGGTGGAGTCAGATGATCCCAACAGGCTGGATCACTTCAACCGACCAGGCAAGATAATCACATATAAACGTCCTGATCCCTTCAAAAAGATCCCCAACCCCTCCTGGGTCACCAACCGCCAGCCATTCAGCTTGCCCTACCACTTCAGCGCGCTGAAGAAAGGTAAGAGGATCGACTGCTCTGGCAAGGGAATCCTGAGCTTTCCAGAGGTTGGGTGGCCTCATTTGGATGAACTGTCCCCAAAGGTCCTGTTGCTGTCCCTCTTCTAGATGCTGATAAGGAGAAGGCGTGTCTGACCGAGTGCAGGAGAGAGAGAGACGAAGTGGAGGCCTACTGCACGAGTGAATTCGGTAAGTGGTGTCCTGCACGAACCACACAGAGCTGGTGCCCTCTTTCTTCATCTGTTACTGACATTTCACTTCTGCTTTGAAGAATGTTTCCCTGAGCATGTTAAATAATTACTAAATACACTAAAAGGACCCATCACAGCTCTTTATAAATGTGCTACCACAAAGGGTACCAAGTCTTACGTTACCCTTTCCCTGCCTTGGGCTAGTGTTGCTCTTTTTTCTGTTTCCTCTACTTCCCACTCCTGGGAGGAAGACAGTGTTCTTGCTGCTGGTCAACGGAACTGAGAAGACCAATTGTTTTAGATGCTTTCAAATTAAACATTGTAGCTGTGTTACTTACCTCTTTACTATTTAGAGTGAGTTTGCAGGCTGAAGTTTCAAATGAAAATAAAATGAAGAACTAAGCAAAAATAAAACCATGATTCTCTCTTTATAGAAGATTCTCCTTGAAGTTCCTTAAGATTCAATATCTTTAGTCCTTGTGTCAAAGTTGATGTAGCTGAAGATGGTAGATAACAGCCCAGCATTTTTGTACTGACTGCTGAAGAGCGAGTGTTTTCTGACCAAAACCTTCCCTCGCGCTTACCAAGTTGTGAAATAGATACTGACTTTTTCTCACAGTATTTTAAGAGATAAGCAAAATACATGCCTAGCGGTAACAGATGTTTCCATTTGTAGAATATAAACATGGTAGGAGACATCTGTTTTCTCTAAATGGAGAAGTCAGGAAGTGCTTTCTGCAAATGCTATATTCTTTATTTGTTACCCCTCTCATGCATTCCTGTCAGACACAGGCCGTGCAGCGCCCTGACCTCTGTACGTGTCAGCCCTGAACATTCATCTCTTCAATTGAAAGACAAGTAGGAAAAAGTCTGAGCAACGCATCAGCCAAGGTTCCATTCGGTGATCAGAGAGAGCTTTTCATTTTACATTTACAGTGTAGATTAAAGAATAAATGACTGAATCAAAGTTGTCACTCAGTGAGGCAGGTGTCACACCAGTTCTAAGTCCCCTTTGCTGTACCTGCCTCACACGTTTGTTGTTTTCTGCTTCCCGCAGTCAGCTCAGCGCTTCTCAAAACCAGAAGCGGGGTGGGCAGCACAAAGTGATTGTCTGACAGCAGAGCACGGCCTGCTCAGTGCCCTGGCCTCTTGGGGTGAAAAGGGCCTTTTCTTTCCAAAGCAGAAGCATTTTATTAGCAGGTTAGCTTTGGATTTCATTGTGACGTTTTAAATTTGAAAATTTTACTTTGTTAAGTAAAATATGTCCACTTTTTTTTTTTTTTTTCTAAATCAGGATGGAAAACAGTACTAAAAATAATCACTTTCTTCTGAAACATTTTATAAACCTCACTAAGAGACATCTCAGACCTGTAAAGTGTAAGGAGGTTGGTGACTCAACAAAAACTAAGGCACTGACCTCATCAAATGTGATCATTTGAAGCAACTCCTGCTTTCAGGACTGCCCACTACTGAGCCCAAGAATTTCTGCTGACACTTACTTTCCAGCATTTTAAATTACAGCCTTCACATATACCCAGAACTGCCACCAAGATACGTAATCTGACCTTTGCTTTTTTCCCCCCTCTCCCTTAAACCAGCAGTGAACGGAATTGTTTATAACGTGGAAGGACTGGGGAATGGAGTCCACTTGATTACGCTTTTGGTAAACAGCGATGGATTATACAAGATGAGTCGCTTGTATATTATTCCTGATGGCTTCTTCTTTCGAGTTCACATTCTAGTTGTGGATACTTTAAACTGCAGTAAACCGTGTCCAGACTTTAAACTTGGTAAATAATTCCAGCTAAATTCATTAATTCCACTATTCCTCCTGCATGCAGTGCAGTTTTAGTCTGCTCTAGTTTCATAGGCTCATCCTGGGTTGTTTTGATACTTTGGGGGGGGAGGGAAGTATTTATGGATAAATGGGAGGGCTTTTTCCCTCCAAATTCCTCTAGATTTTCAGAAGACGACCAACAGTGTGCAGAAGTCAGGTACCAGCGTAGTCTTTTCTTAACTATCTCCAGTTCCAAAATGACTGTAAGAGTTTTCAGGATTGCCAAAAAAAATTAAGCAGGAGCTTAAGCTGATGTCTTTGCCAGCAGTCCAGTTTTCCTTCTAAATGCAAGTTTCTCAAAGACCAGTACTTCTCCCAAAAAAAGCTTTGAACTGCAACACAACACAGTAAATCATTATTTCTGTGCAAGCACAACCCACAAGTCCCCCTGAAGTTCAGGGTGCTGCTGCACTGAGCCCCACGTTCAGGATGTATTTCTGCAGGGTACAACTTCACGTCTAACTCATAAATCCGCTGCCCTTAGAGCGAGTGCCGCGAATGAATCCGCGCTTTCTTCGTGGCGCACCAGTCTGGTTTATTTTGCAGGCAGCAGATACATTGTGATGGGTCGGATCTACCACAAGAGACGACAGATCCCTGCAGACCTGCTGCAGTTCCTGCGAGGGCGGCTGAGGCCGGGGGATGGATTGCTCAGGAGCAGCAGCAGCTACGTCAAGAGATTCAACAGGAAGAGGAACCGCAAAGTGCAAGCGGCTCACACCAAATGCAGATAAGGCTCCAGTAACCTCGCTCTGGGACACAGGCAGCAGCAGAATTCACCCACCAGAACAAACCTGCCCATGGTTGAGCAGCAGTGGGAGGTAGTTCTCACCTCTGACACCAGTTGCAGCAAGACACTTGCTTTTGTGCTTTAGCCAACACTAACTGAGTGTTTTTAACCAGGTACTTTTATATTGTGAAATTGAGCACAAAAGTCAGTCTAAGGAACATTAACTGCTCATGAATTTGCTCCAGCTGTTATCAGAGCCACAGGTTATTGTTGCCTCCCCTGCGGTAATGGACCCCTCATCATGTGTAGTAGTTGTAACGTCAAACTCCGGAGGCGTTGCTGTAGGTACACAAGTCACTGCACTTTCAAAGCCTTAACCTTGAACAAATATTAGATGATACCATGGCTTTATCTGTAGAGGATGTCCATTGTGTTTTCACACACTTCTGCCTAAAATATCACATGCATTTGATTCAAAAGAAACCAACAAAATTAAGTATCATTTGTATTGTTTTGTTATCCTCAAACACGTCCATGCTACTTTAAAAATGACATTGTTCTTCAAACAGAGCTGGATTTTCACACGAAGCACACGGAATAGCTGTGTAATTATCTGAGTAGATGAAAACATGAACTGAAAGCAAATCACAGAACTGCACAACACAAATGCCCAATTAAGTTTACAACTAACGGCGCAAGTTCATGCCAAGGAATGCGAAATGAGCACGCGATCGCACGCAGTTTGTACCGCCCGGTTACACTGGCAGTTCCTTAAAAGTTCAGCCCCACAACTGTGTACTGAATGTCATTTTTCCATGAGAAATGTTACCAACTTTGTACTTGCACATCAGTAAAGTTACTTTTTCAATCAAAGATGCAATCCTTTAGTATCTCGGATGCGGTGGGATGTAAGAACCTATGAAACCTCTGCAAAGGGGGATCTTAATTTTTGCTGTTCCAAGAGTCTATTCACAAATCCAAAGCCTTTAAAAGAAACTAATAAAATTCTGGAAGATGCAAAAATATTATGTCATGATATTAAACAACAGCATCTCCTTATTTGATGAGTTGGCTGGGGATTTTAAGATAAATATTTATATTAAAAATGGGAAAATGCAGTCTAGCTTAAAAAAAACCCCCAAAAACATACATGATGTGACCTGGAAGAGGAAGCAGTGGCTTCTATAAGCATTTACGGTTTTGAAGCAAAGGTTCAAAGGTTCTAAGACAGTTCTACCTCGTACACATCTACAGCCTGATTTGGCATCACTGAGAAGCTACAGAGTAGTGGATGGGTGGTAAGTCACACGGGATGAAGTATTTTGTGATATGGAATAAGAGCCAAATACCAAGAGCAAATATTTTGGGACGCAGGAGGCTGTTACTACAGGACAGAAATTGACTCGTAGCTTGTGTCTGTCTAAAAAAGACTTCTTCACTTCTGTTCCGTGAGAGATGTCACGTGGAGCACAGCATATCTAGATGGAATTTTCCTGAGAAACTTTTGAGGGGGCTTTTGATTTGGCAGAACGACTGTTCCTGGCAGTGAATCAAAGCACAGGAGTGGGCCGGGAGGGACAGGAGAAGGAAGGAGGAAGGGTTACATGTGCATCTCAAGTTTCTTTGGTTCTATTTCAGCTGCAGTCCAGGGACTAACCAGCAAGTCCTGCAGTCATGCATTTGGCCAGAACAGCAGTTCAGCACCCTCCCTCGCCCCCGAGACAGTACTGTAATCTAAACCAGGCAAAGCGTGGGTACAAAAATAACATCCAGAGCTACATCTCATTGGGATTGTCTCTCGGAAGAGATAAATAATAGTAGAGCAGTGCTAATGACATCCAGAGCCCGAGTGAAACGCCAGTGACTGACACGCAGTGTCTGCACCACCCTCGGATACAGCTACTGCTCTAGAAGCAGGCCTAAGAGCAATTTATTCTATGTTCTCATGACTGTTCTTACTTTTTACCAGGCTCATTACAGGCTAATTAATGTACTGAAGAAAAAAAAAATAATTCCTAGATCAAGTGGATTTCCACAGCCTTGCACTCGCTATTACAAAACCTCACACCATTAACACTCTGAAACAAGACGGCACTTACACGCAAGAGCTGCCACGGTAATTTTGATACCTTATAGTTAATACATTTTTTTTCCCCCAGCAGGATAAGCATGAAAATTCTTCAGCCAACACACAGCAATCCAGGTGTGCAGGAATATTGTTGTCTTCCTGTCTTTGCAGGGGTTGACTCCAGGCTTTTGGGTAAGCCTAAAATTTATTCTACTTTAAATCCCCATTAACTTTTGCAGGAGCTAAATCTAGACCAAGAGTAACTGCTTCAAGTTTGTTTGAGGAGACAAAAAGAAAACCGAGCAGGTGTAGCTCACATTATCAAAAGTTACAATATATGACCATTTTGAAACAAATATTGCAAGAATTTATAAAAACACAAAGAGGAGGATGACTGAACAGAGATGACAAATCTTATGAATTTACCAGGCTCTTAAGGAAGGTGGGTATTAATTGCATGAGTGATATATTTTCAGTAACACCATTTAACTATAAAAGATCACCACTAATAAATCAAAAGTACCTTGACCTACTCAATGGCAATTGAAAACCCTAACAAAGGCCCTCAGCACGATTAAATTGCATATATGGATTATTTCCCTAATCAACCTGATTCACTGGCAGTTAATAGATAATCTGGCAAAACCCAGACCTATATATGATAATATTATCCAATGTTTCATTAGAAACACCACCAAATCAATGTCAAACACATTACTTTATTTGTCTAGGATGATGTGTCCTATAAGGTACAAAAAAGTACTCTTCAGTTTGCCACAATTTGGTAAAAACATAGCAATCTATTGCCTACAGGTAGGAAAGTTTTAAATGTCTTAATATATATTTTTATATGAATAAATAGTACAGAAATACTGTAAAGTTTTGATGAGATGCGGTTAAAATGTTGTTAAGAGTTGAGATTTTTCCTTTTTGCATTAAAAACACAATGCATACAATATGCAGCATTTTTTAAAAACGTCAAAGGACAACAAAACCTAAATGCAACTACTCCTCTTTAACTTAAGAAACATAAATGGATTATTGTTTTCACATTGAACAATTATTTTTAATTTTCACATATAGATTAAATGACAAATGTTGTATGTACAAAAAACCCCTGGGTTTTATTAGATAAAATTATCCCAGAAGAACCTGTACACCTGAGCCTGTAAGTGTAAGAAAGTGTGGTCAGTAGCAATGTCTTTTTAAGAAAAATAACAGGAGAGGTTCTTGCATAGCAAGGTGCGAGGTTAAACCCAAACGGAGCTTATCCACAAACCAACGGGTCAATCCCAGATCACTGCAGGACACAAGTTAACTGTGAATTAGTGCAAAAGCTAATCAAACCACGGCTGATTAACTACAGAGCGGTACTACGAGCAAGTCATTGACATACGCAACGTGAAAGTGACAGATTGGAAAGAAACAGCAACGTCATCTGCAATTTGCATCTTGTTGTGACTTCAGTTTGTCCCTCACAGTAGCACTCCTGGCACAGGAACCAGCGCCGCAGTCCAGAATGCCTTTCCAAGGCAGAATTACACTTGGTACTTTACATTCCTAGAGCACTTGGCAAAATATCACTTAATTCAGAGGTGGGCAGTGACATTTCACACAATACTTCCTACCACGTTATCTGTTACAGTAATTTTGGCACCACTGCAGAAATTTTATAAAGGGATAACAGCTGCTGAAGAACCAAACGTAGTAAATGCCTCTGGAGCAGAATCAAGTCAGATCTCCCTGGCCACTTCCCTCCCCTATTAACTGAAATATCTGAACAGATCCCCAGAGTGTTACAAACATATTAGCGCACACTCAAAAGACACCTACATCTGTGGGGAGAACAATGATCTCCATTTATTTTGTTTCATATACATCCATATTTTGAATTTTAATACAAAAGGAAAAAAAAAAAAATTAGAATCTGACAAATGTTTACAAACAAGATACCTTCAAATAGATTTTACTCATTTCAATCTGGTGCAGAGTAAATGACAAATTGTACTGTTATATTCAAGGCAACAGAGTCTGTAGTCCGTGACCACTTAGCCCAACTTTTCTGCAAGCTTAATTGTTTTTCTCTACCATGAATGATAAACTCATTGTTGATTCCCAGTTCTGTGTGTGTGCACATGTGTACATAGCAGCTCCTTTCATAGAAAGAAAAGACATCTAGAGGTCTTCTTGTACTTTTACCTACAGGAATCATGTTTAAGATACAGAATGGATTACATGGAACCGGGGCTGGATTTTATAAGAAAAAATAATTAGCTGACAAATGAGGGCAGCAATAAAAAAGCGTCTTTTTTGCAACAATAAATAAATACAGTCAAAGTTTTCTGTGTGGACTTTAAACCAGCTTCTTCACTGAAGAACAGACGTGGCATTTCCATGGAGTTAAACGTGACCCCATTTACTGTATCTTTTTTTTCTTGCTCTCTTTCTCTCTCTCTCCTTCAACAAAACAAAGTTTTCCTGCTTCTGCCACAATAGTACAACAATTTGATCTTGACAAGAAAGTGGTGCTGCTGATTTTTATTTCTTTGTCCTTTGGACAAAAATAAGCCAACAATAGAATTTGACTGTTGTGACCAATAAAAACGCAGTTTACATCAATTCTTGTCAGGATAACCTGACTAAAAACATCTGGCTTCTTAATTAAAAAAAATTTTCAGACAACCAGATTCTTGCTCGTGTGTTAGGTTAACACGCTGAACTCTAAGAAGCTGTAGACTGCAGTTTGTTGTTATGGGACCTGCAGAATACAGAAGAAAGTGAAGAATTAAGCACCCTTCATTTTGGAGAACACAGTTGCTGCAAGGTGTTGCCAAGGGTAAATCACAATGAGGGAATTACCACCATGTTGCTTCCATTTATTATTTTTTTCCCCTTTCAGAAAGAACAACACTTAAAAAGTAATTCTCTCTCAATTTTAAGCACTTTTTCTCCTACAAGATACAAATATTTCAGTAC